CAATGCATCAAACAAATTGCCCTCATCCTTTAATTGCCCCAATATGACAACTGAAATCTATTTCAGACTTTGCTTAAGCTGTCTATCTTATATAGAAGTCACTCAAAAATTATGGCGATAGGGTAGCAACAACAAAATCCTAAAGCACATGTCAGCAGGCATTACCGTACTTAAGAGTGCAGGAAAAGGACAGAAAACTTGCTGAAGTGGAAGAACAAAGAGGTAAGGAACAATGCAGAAGGAAATGGGGTTGAAGAATGGGAAGTAAGTCTAAGCGATTTCTTCCTTCTCCAGATACCTTTTCAAACTCAAACATAGATGACAATGTTTTTCTACCCATACACCTAAAGAAATTTTATGGAACCTGCAGAATGGAAAGCTCCCTTGCACACTGATGCAGGTCTCAGGTGTGAGTTCCCTGGAAGATGTGCCAATATTGCTCTGGCCAGGCCTGCAACACATGGAGCCAGCAGCAGAGATCCTGCCCCAGCACTGTCTGGGCAGGTGACACCTATTTTGTGACTGCACTGCCACCTTGAATTTAACTTCTGTAACTGGTAGGTGGGGTGGGATAAACTTCTTTCAGTTTGTCTTATTATTCTCTTGCTGGTTCCTAATTTTTTTACTGGGAAAGAAAAAGAAAAAAAGTCTCAGGTTTGGTACCTCAGCACAAGGAGACATTTGATACCTGTTTAAGTGAACAGCTCTCACCAAGATCTAGGGGAGCTTTCCTGAAAGTCTTGGCAAGCACCGGACATGTATTTGAGCTGCAAAATGCCAGCACCAGCTCCTGCTCCAGCCTTTAGCAAGTGTCTGCAGTGGTTTAAGGTAACAAGCCAGGTTTAATAGACTGGAGCATGAGGCTACAGTGTTTCTCTCTGACAGTCCTCACTAGACTGTGTGGGACTAAGCATGGGATGCTGGGAGATATTGAAAACCTGAACAGGAGCTTATGGTGATGGAGCAAAATGCCAGGGAATGTGTGTGAGTGTGCCCAGGCTTAAGAAACACAGCAAAATCTTTTCAAGGTGACACAATTCAAAGATAGAAGATTGTTATATCTTATAAACACTCCGGGGGAAAGGGGGAATAAATCAATGCATCAAACAAATTGCCCTCATCCTTTAATTGCCCCAATATGACAACTGAAATCTATTTCAGACTTTGCTTAAGCTGTCTATCTTATATAGAAGTCACTCAAAAATTATGGCGATAGGGTAGCAACAACAAAATCCTAAAGCACATGTCAGCAGGCATTACCGTACTTAAGAGTGCAGGAAAAGGACAGAAAACTTGCTGAAGTGGAAGAACAAAGAGGTAAGGAACAATGCAGAAGGAAATGGGGTTGAAGAATGGGAAGTAAGTCTAAGCGATTTCTTCCTTCTCCAGATACCTTTTCAAACTCAAACATAGATGACAATGTTTTTCTACCCATACACCTAAAGAAATTTTATGGAACCTGCAGAATGGAAAGCTCCCTTGCACACTGATGCAGGTCTCAGGTGTGAGTTCCCTGGAAGATGTGCCAATATTGCTCTGGCCAGGCCTGCAACACATGGAGCCAGCAGCAGAGATCCTGCCCCAGCACTGTCTGGGCAGGTGACAGCACCAGAGACTTCCATGCATGCTACTGCTCTCCAAAGACTTTTTTTCAGAGAGTATGGAGGAAAGGTTAACAGTTTTCTGTGGCTAGGGGGAATCTACAGCCAGTTACGTTCTGTAGAGAGCTAGTATCTTCTTCTCTTACATGCTGAACCTTAGACTTAAGTGGTAAAATCTGTTGAAACACAGAGAGCAAAGCCAGTGGTGGGGCTGGAGGGGGAGGGGATGAATGCACCATAAAGCACAGCTGCCTCCACCTATTACTTCATACTATCAGAAGACAAGCCTGAAAAGGCCCAACTTGTCCTTCACAACTGAGTCACAGAAACACAACACACTGTGCTATAGCCATAGACCTGCTCTCTGTGCAGGCAGCCTCCGAACAATGCAGCAAGAGGGATGTTTGGTGTCAAAGGTCTGAATGTTTGCCTTTTTCATAGCCTCAGGAGCAAACAGATGGACAAACAAAAATGTCCCACAAGAGAATCCTCTTCAATTACAAAGCAAAAGACCATTACATGACAATCAATATGGAACATCCAAATGAATTACATAGAAGTAATTTTAATTAGGGAAGTAAAACAATCTATTAAATATTAGCAGTGCAATGTTAATGTGATAAAATGAGACAAAAAGAAGCAACTGAACACACAAGGACGTTAGGTCCTATGGATAAACACAGGAAAGGACAACCCACATTTCCAGTTTACCATGACATAACTAGGCATTACAACAGAATTGATACACAGAACTATTTGCAGTGTCAGTAAAATATCTACTGAAGGCATAAACTTGTGATTAACAGACAGCAGATTACTAGTTGTTGCAAAACTGTTTTAGTTGAAAGTCAACAGAACTATGTTAAATTGTAGCAGCTGAGGACAGCATCTGAAAAAAAAGCATGGAACTCTTAATTTGCAGTGTGGTTATATGAGAGCAAGTCTGCAAAAGAAGTTGGAAGAAACAGGACTGAATTTTATTATTTGGTTTAAACTCAAAAGGTTTGCAAAGTGGGAATGTAAAAACAAAAAGCTGAGAAAAACCTTTGCCAATGACACTTGACTTGTACAGCAACAACTGCAAATGAGCTGCATTCCTTGTCCCGCCCAAAAAGCAATAGGAATGATTAAGCTTTAAAACACATACATGTACACACAAGAACACATATAATCATCCAGGAACTCAGAGCTACGTCAGGATCACAAATGTGTAAGGCAAATAAATACATTTAAAAGGTAGATCTGATACCGCAACAGGGAATGTTCAAGGTGAGGTTCAAACATTTCTAAAAGGGAGAGGATTCACCTTCTCCATCCAGTTGCAATGTTTCATTTTCCCAGAGCAATGGTGGTGAGGTGGGGCAATGATGTAGCACATAAAAGGGCACCAACCCTGCTAGCAGACTTTGCAGTTATAAGCAAATCTCTTGGCTCAGAAACTGGGATTTAAGAACACCACTCACATGAAATCCTTCCTGCATTTTACTGGTAAGAGCACTGGAAAAAGCCAGCATTGCAAACAGAACATTGCAGCCATAGCAACAAGCAATTCAACACTTAAACTCTTCAACAGACTAAACAGGGTTTTCTTTCTGGTTTTATAATTTCATGGCCAATACTTCACCATGAGCACTTTACTAGTCTAGCTGGTTGTTAATGTCTCAAAACCAATCTCCTGTTAAAGCTTCAACCAAGAAAACCTCCATACCCAAAGAAAAATAAAGTGTGTGTACACAGGGAGACTGCTTCAAAAATTAAACGTTTTTTCTCCCTATTTGGAAATTGGTATAGAAAAACAGAGAAAAGTGCAAGTTCTGACCTGTTAAATCAAGCACTAGCCCTTTAGTAGCATTTTGTGCTATAAATGTTACAACCAGGATCACAAAAGCCTTAACATTGAGATTTAAAACAACTTAAGCCACACCACAGTATCTCTGAGTAATGCCTCAACATGACAGGCACTCCAATGAGAAGTCTCCTTGAGCCTTTTGTTGTCTGTGAGGATTTTGATAAATCATTTTTCTTATTGCTATCATTTGAAAACCAAAACTGAAGGCTAAAAATAGGAAAAAAGATTTTGCATGGTTGAGGAAATTTAACCCTGTTAATTAGACTGCTTCATTTCAGAGTCAGTAAGACTCTAATATCCTAATAAATACATGGGGTTTTTGGAAAGTGTCATGCAGGAAAGCAACTGAAATAGTGCCTTTTTTAACCTTTAGTGGCATCAAATTTAATATCTGCAAAAGAAATCACTGTTTTCTCAAAGGCAAGAATTTGAGATATTTAGAACCTAAAGCATAAGGGCAATGGGAAACTGTCGATCTCTCCCACGTAGACTAAATAATGCCCACATAAATTTTAATGCTCAACAAAGGTGTTAAACTTAATGAATTAACTTACATAGGTGGTTTATTATCCAAAGCTTTCACTAGCCTTTCCTATCTCTTTACCATTTTTATACTTCTTTACTACAGCATAAAAATTGAATTTAAAGGAACCAGATTGCACAGATCTTTTGAGAGCTTCAGGGTTCATCCTGACTTCCTTGCCACTTCAGGTACCGTAACCCCACAATTCACAGATACAGGCTTTGTTGACTGACCTCACAACTTGGCTGTGAACTCAACTTTGCTAGCAACACGTGCTGAGAAGCTCCATAAATGACAGTGAAGGACAGAGCATGAAACAGACAAAGAAATGTGTTTACACGTTTAGGAGGAACAGGGACCTTTACCAAACCCTGTTTATTGGATTATTTTTGACTAGTAGCACTATTATCTATGGAGTTATTGTGCCGTGTAAGAGACAGTTACTAAGTGTTATGGTTTTTATTAAGCCCCGCTGGTCACGTATTGTTCTCTATTAGTTTTTTTGTTTGTTTGAAATGTTTTTTTGAATTTCTCTCTCACTAGATCACAAGCTGAGGAACTGGGGAAAATACAGTTCTTACAGCTTCTTACAGCTTTTGGACTGTCTTGTGACCTGCCCACCTGGATACTACACAATCACAGACTGACCCTGCCCTCTAGGGTTTACTGAATGTTTTTTACAATCCAGATGAGGGTGGCTGGAAATCTTCATAAGTGTGTTCAGAGACACACGTGTAGGAGAATACTGTGCAAGTGGAAGTGTGAAGAAAGCATGGAAGAAAAATCTGTATAACTAAGAATTACTAGTAGGAGGTGATTGGTGACCAGCCTATGGGGAGGTGTCTGGTGACTGCGACAGGTCATGCAGCGTTCCATCTGATCAGAGAGGTATGCAACAAAGGGGCACCTGGTAAAACATGGGGGATGTTGAAAGACTGTGGGGGTATTTTGACAGGAAAAAGGAAAAACAACCTCTATATTACACAAACAGGACTCTTGAAAAGCCACAGAAATATCCCATACTTACTTTTATCTTCCTGGTTTTCTTCTGCTGCTTTGCCTTCCTCTTCCTCCTCCTCCTCCACCTCCTTCTGTTGCGCTTCTTCATGGTGATCAGTGGCACCGACTGAAAGGCTCTGGCAGCAGTGGTTGAAGCCGCTATCCCGAGGCAGAGTGAAACTTCGGGGCTTTCCCCCATTCCCATTCAGCACTTGCATCCGCTCCCCCTCCACCAGGGGGAAGGGACCGTAGTGGTCTTGCAGGTGGCACTTCTGGGTGGGCAAGGTTGACTGCCGCCGGTGCTCGGGGGAGACCACGGCCGCCTCGGAGAACACAGAGTCCTCCAGCGGCAGCGTCTGCAGGTAGTGGAGTCCTGAGCTGGTCAAGGGCGTCTCGATGAGGTCCTGCCAGGAGCGCCGCTGACTCGCTGTCTTGCGCACCGGCGAGTCAGTGGTGCTCCCCGCCGCCTCCGGGCGGAACTCCTCGTGTGACGACTGTGACTGGGAGGTCTCCGTGGACGAGAGCCGGCTGTGTTTTGGCTCCACGTAAGGGCTTGCACAGCTCATCTGCAATGGCAGAAATGGAGCAATCTTCAGACCAGCCGAGACCGAGACCTACGACTAGTAATCATCACGCACTTGTCATGGTCATTAACGGCACTCAGTTCAGTACCAAAGGCACAAACTTAACTGATTAACCTGCCCTGATCCTCACTTTAAGGCACACACATGTCTACACATGTCACACGTGTAGGTGAGACACTGACACTTATTCTTAGTAAGTATCTTTATTATGTCCTTTAGTCTAGAAAATAAGGCAGCACAATTATTTGCAGAAAACTTTGTGGAATACTGCACTATGAGTGACACAGAAGATATTTGCCTGCTCCATTGAAAATCTTAAAAATGCTTTCTAAATGCCTTTTTTCAACTTATCTTGCTAAAAATTTCTTTGGAGTCCTGTTTGCAGTGCTTCAGTGCAGTTCAAAGATCTAGGATGTTGGAAGATAAAGTACTGCCTTTGTACTAAACATCATTAACATTATCTTTCCTCAGACTTCTTCAGTTCTTCAATCCAAATGTTTTCATTTTAAAAACTATAATCAGCTCATACGCACTAGTTAACCCTGTCTGAGTGTACCGACAAGAAAATTAAAATTACCAGCACAGAATAAGCTAGAAGTCCATATTGTGGTTTTATAACTGCTTCAAGAGAAAATAAAAAACACATCCCCTTTTCTTCTAATTTACAGAGAAATGTACAATGATGGCTGTCAATGTTAGCAATGTATGCTGCTTAACAAATGCCTTAGTATTGACTCCAAAAAGATACTGGAGAGTGCCCTACCTGCAGAAGAGTAGGTAAAAGTGACACTATGTAGTCATTCCTGTAGGTGTTGCAGGTGACTTACCGAAGGAGGCCGTGGGTATGTGTCATATGGGGGTGGCGGACTGTCTTGTTTGGGTGTCGATGGAGTGTCGGCTTCCTCCTTATCGCTCTCACTCCAGTAATCTACGAGTTACATACAGATCAGATGAAAAACTACCAACACATTTTGATACTCAGGGACTCATTTTCACAACAGCAACTGGAAACTCGATCCTTGGTATTACCGGGAGTTAGATTCCAACTCGTAAACGTTAACTGGTGTAATTTGGAATTACTTTAACGTAAAAAGTGAAAATTCCAAACATTATGAGGTACAGTAAGTCTAACGCTCCATTGCAGAGATATTAAACAACAGCCTGCAAAACAGCCAAAAATGTAACTCTTGTACACACCTTACATATACAACACGCATATAGAATACTCCCAATGCAGGTTATCAGATTTTCAATACTTATACAACGATCAAAATAATAATGACTGGACATATATTAACTAGAAAATACTGAAAGCATTTTTTCAATAGAAAAGAAGAAAAATGTAAGTAACTTCCAGAAGAGTTGTTGACTGCAAATAACATTAACAAATGTAATTAACACCAATTGGCAAATCAAACAAGTAGTGATTATTGCATATATAATTAATCAATGCTACTTCTCCACCCATTTTATTCATTGTATACTACCAGTTACCCAAGCTTTTAATTCAATTTCTAATAAGAAACAGCTGCATTTAAACAAGGAAGAAAAAATTTATATCACATATTGGCTTCATAAAACAGCTGCAGCCCTCTTTTCCATGCAAGAATGTAAAGGTGATATCATAAAGAAGAATATGACCATGATACTTAAGCACAGAGTTCCAAAAGATGGACGAGAAAATAAAAAGGACACAGGTCTTGTGGGCTAAATTTATATGAGGTTTCATTTTGTCAGGAAATTAAGTCTTGGCCAAGTACATTTCATATGTTTGGTAGCTTGGTCAAAGGGAAAACAATGGACTTTATGTTTATTCTGTTGCAAATATTTCTGAAGCAGAATAACATCTAAATAAATGGAACCAGATCTTAAAATTCCTTACAGAAGAAAACTACTTAGCAGCCGACTCAGCTCAAGATGGGTAACTTTTACATTTCTACACATTGTAAGACCTATGCAAACATTTCTATTGTCACTTTGTTTCTGACTGTATTACTTTCTAGTATTTGGGTAAATCATTGTATAACAGGACACTTGCGCTCAGACTGTTCATAGATTAATCACAGGCATTTTCATTTTGCCTAGTGTTTAATTAACTACAAGACTTACTACTTTCTCTTGGACAGATGAGGAGAAAAAGATTGAGTCTTCATAAACAATCTGAACCAAAAAATCCAAGTTGGCACAACATGTAATTTTGGCTGTAATGATTTTTTTGTTACCATGACAATTATTGTATTGTATTATTAATGACCTATTGTATCTAATCTTATCCAAGATTTAAAGCAAAAACTTACCTTAAAATGACACTATCCTGAAGCGGGTGTCCCTAAAATTCTGTATATTTTTAGATTGCATGGGCAGCCTTATTTATCTATTCATTTTTTCCAATCAGTGACAACCCTGTTTTAACTCTGGGTCTCTTGATTTGACTCCTTCAAGCTCCTAAATGAGAGATTCTCTTCAAGTGGTATAATAAATAGCAGAAATAAAGTTTTCCTGACTACGAAATACAAAATAATTTTTAAAAAAGCAGTTGTCTCTAGAAATCTGAAAATAATTACTTTTTGGTGAATGAAAGACTAAACCATAGAAAACTCTTTTAAATTCCTCCTAGTTTTAAGAAAACTTATTTCCAGCAACTCAAAGGGCTTGAAAATATTGTCATATAAGCATGTCTGTTCTTATTACAGCAAAGTCTAATGGTGCGATGTGTGGTGAGAGGCCTGTCAGAATTGTATCACTCAGTGAGATTTCTGCAGACTTGGAGCTCAACTGTTTATTCTGAAAGTAAAATTTAGCAGTCCCAGTGCAGGTTCCAATTTTGGCTAAAAATACAAAGATGTTCTTGCTGTCAAATCCACATACAATAAAACACTGTATGATCACGCCTTTGCGCACCTTACCTCAGGCAGGGAATTCTGTCAGCAACCTATGGCCCGTCTAGAAAAATTCTGCAGTCATAGGGGTCAACTTCCAGATGAAATGTATGAAAATAGTCTCCCACAGATTTAAAAAAAATGTTCTGATTTTGGCAACTGACTCATTAGAGTCTATATAAATGCGTATAATGCTATTGAACGGTCGCTGTATTTCTCTGCAGCAAAATCTCTGCAGATTTTGTCCAACTCAGTGATAGGCAAGCTCAAGGCATTGGTCGTATCTTGAAAGCTTTATGAATGAGAAATAGACTGCATATATTATATATAAACTAACACTGACCTGCCATTTGCAAATTAAATATTTTCTATTTATAAAAGCTAGTATTTTTTTCACTGACTTTCTATGCCATCCAAGGAGATGCCATGTTGCTAACATTCAATGTATTCAGTATGGAAAGTTGATGGTATTTTTATAAAACTGTTCTGTACAGAATGTGACATTTTATTCAGCAGTACACCCACAATTTGGTGATTCGTGCATCTCTGGAGCACTTGAAATATATTTATGCACTTTAGATTCAGAACCATCCAACTCTTAATTGAAACAGGTTTGACAACTACTGTTGAATTGTTTCAGAGGTATTATAAAGCTTTGCTGCAAAGGGCTGAACTGAACAGAAATCAAAGATGTTTTGTGAAATCAAATATATAGATGACAATTGGTACAGTCACTGAATACCAAAATTTTCAGCTTTGCAGTTTTTATAACTGCAAAAATGCTTGAAGTGATAGAGAGGTTTTACTTGACTAACTCAAGGCTTCTGGTTAATCAGGGACACTACTGAGCTGCTTAATAGCCCTTGTGCTGGCAGCCAAATATAATCACCAGAGGCGTAAAACCAATGGGGAGTGTGATACTGATTCCCTGACTAAACACAACTAAGCAATGCAAAGAGGATACGGTTTTACCTACCTGTATATGATAAATCAATTTGAGTGGCATTAGAGCTGTCATAAAGAGCTCTGTCAATGCCTGGGATGTAATTTCAATAGGGAGTGGGGTCTCACTGATTAACTTCAATAGGGAGACATTAATAATAGGTAACATGAGGCCTGAATCCACATGATCTCATGTCAAGGAGCCAGATCTGCTATTTTAGTACTCAGTGATTGTGAGGTAGAAAAATACTTCTCTACATTCATCTGGATTTTGAAAGGTGCCTAATGTCTGCAATTGTGCACTTGGGACAGTGTTAGCATAACTGTTTTAGACGCCTTTTCTCTTACTGTCCCATGTTATTGTAATTCTAGTGCCAACCAGCTGTGAAGAGAAGTTTAAATTTAACTTTGAATGCTAACATGGAGGACTTCCTAGAAGACTCCAAGATTCAGAGTTTGTTCATGGCCTCTTCAAGCAGTGACAGAGGAGATACAGGTCCCTCCAAACTAGTTCCTGCAGTACTTCCTGAGGAGAGCAGATTCCTAAAGTGATTTTGAAGCCTGGTGAGTCAGTGAGAATATGACTGGAGGAACAGTGAGCATGGTGCTGCCATCTTGGGCTGTGTGAACACAGAGGGCCTGGTGTTATGAATGACATGATATGCCAAGGACCATACTGGACTAACACAGAAGGTGGGCAACACTTCCAGGATAAACAGCTGCACTTACAGGAAGAGGTGATTATAAATGAGGCAACAGCCAGTACAGCTTAGTTATGTGCGAGAACAACAGAATGCCCCAAAACCTTCCCGTGAATGCTGCTACCATGTAATTATGGCAGTGTGCTGTAAGCCACTGCTCTTCAACCCCAGGCTGATGCCCTCAGGAAGCTCTGTGGTGAGCCAGTCAGGGTATGAATCAAGGTAGACATAATTTTCTGATGCTATCTTTCAATCTTCTACCATTACAGAAAAAGCTACTCTCTTGATGTTTCTACCTAGCTGCTGAAGTCACCCTTGCTTCTCACTGGGGAAAGGAGTTTTTTGCAGGTATCTCCCAGGAAAACAGCACTGCAGCAACACGTTGCAGAGAGACAGACCACGCTCATCTTCCTCCTCAAAGTATCAGACCAAAAGGTCAGGGCTAATGCTGCTATCACATGGATAAGTACAGCCCGGGGGGCAAGGAGGACACCATGCGGTAAATTCTGAAGCACAGTGATAGCCTTTTGAACAAAACTCTCCTGGAAAAATGGTTAGAAATACAGTCTTTGTAAATAAAAGACTCGATTAAATGCTTTACTGCTGCAGCTCTGAACTATAAACTTTTGGGACTGAAAGGCTGCAGAGGCATAGAATTAAAAAGTGAGATCTTGTCTCAGTGAGCAGCAGGCAGACAGGCATCTGGGTAAGCTCTGGACCATCATGACCACTGCAATTTTCTGCTGCCTGCTGCCAAGTACATCTGTGAAAAACAGTGTGGATTCAATAGTCAGCTGCTTGCCAAAACAGCTAGTTAGATAGGAACATTTTTATGAATCCATGCCACTGGCAATTCTAGGAAAAAACCTCCCCAACACAACTAAGGTCTGACCCTTTCTTTTTCTTGTTTGCAAATAGGATTTCTACTGCAGGAAACTAAAACAAAGCAACATGTTATTTTATATACACTGCTTTTTTAAACCCATGAAATATTATATATTCAAAATAAACAGATGTAAAATGCTGTAAACCTGCAAATCCAAATAAAATGCCAAGAGTGCATCACCATACATCTCAATGTAGTAAAATCAGTAGAAATCATAACAAATTAAATGACCTTAAAATTAAAGTCTTTGGGGGAAACCCAATTATGTCCACAGGTTTTAGAAGAACTTCTGTATTGTTCCTGGGATTCATGTGATGCATGCCTGCCCCCTGTGAATTCAAACACCAAATGCAAATTTTGTTTGTTTATTTGTTTTTTGTTGTTTTTTTTTGTAGTTTGCAGATTCTGGATTTTCTTCTTATAGGGGACAGAGTCTCCTTGGTATCATCTACCAGAGCAATACATTTGCTGCTTTCACTTGCCTTCTGTGGCCTTCTCAGAAATAACCCAAGTGTCTGTGGACCAGAATCTGAAGGAGCTAATAAAAACCCTTGAGAGAGAAGGAATTCTCTAAAGCAACAACAGTGATGGCCATATGTGTCTTGCTCTCAGATGACAAGAATAAGGCTTGGTACGCAGCAGGGAAAAATGAACAGATGAACTCGTCCTAAGATCTGACAGAAGAAACCAAAATAACAACACCTTACCTTGCTCTTGTTTGATCCTCTCTCTTTCTGCATAGCCAGCAGCAAGCATGTTAATTCTGTTTAGCCATCTGAAATAATATTTAAAAAAGCAGTGATACTGAACCAGCCTCTTAATGTTTGGGTACATTTCTACAAAAAAAAAAAAAGTTAGAAGCATCTGAAGGAGATTCAAGACAATGCTATTTACATATCAGACAGCTGTTTTCTTTGATACTCTTACTCAGAAAGTCTCCAAAGATCTGTGATTTTGCTGTTGAACAAAATGTTTTCACAGCAAGATTTTATTTCAAATGGAAAGCCATGGATGATGTAAAATACCTGTAAAATATAGGATTTGTGGATAATCAAAGAACGATTAAGTCTGCTGCTCACAGATACGCCATCACACCAGTACTCCTGCTGTTCTAATTTCTTAAGAATAAACACTACTTCTCAGAGATTGAAGCAACATTTTAAGGCCTGAATTGGTAACTTAGCAGAGGAACAGAGCAGAAGCCAGCAGTCAAATAACAGGCTCACTCCCAAACAGACAGTGAGGTTTAATCATGCCACTATGTGGTTCAGAGCTTACCTATAGTGCCAAGTACAAAGAAAAGGCAGCATATCAAAACTCACTTTTGTGTTCATGTCAGAGAAGCAGGGAGAGAAAAGACAGTTGCCTCAATGCAGTTCTCATCTAAGGCTCTAACCTGAACTTAGACTTGAAAAAATGTTTCTGTAAGCTGCATAAATTAAAAAACCCAACAAACTTGCTGTTCTCTTCTAGAAGGGCTCTCGTGGCCAAACATATACTCAACTGCCTGTAGCAGTGCACTGCTTCAGCCTGTCCTCTTCCCCCATGGGGCTATCAGTGTACTCATTATCCAAACAGTTATGCAATATCAGGTCCCCCACCAATGAGGTTTTAAACCACCATGACAAGCTACTGTGGCTGTCCATTCCATGGTAAACCTGGAATTACTTGCTCCAGCCATCCCACAGTCAGGATTTGACTGGCCTGGTTTGCCAACCTACTGGCTTGCAGTTTTACTTCTAGGGTATACAGAAAAGGACAACCGAAGTCAGGTTTTCATTTCCTTCAGGGATGTGAGACTCCTGCTTCAGACAACAGTGCCTGATGGGTTTAATTTGCATACAGTATGCATCGAAACAGGCTGTAGTATTGTCTCAGCAAGGGGATACCTTTGTAATCACTCCTGTAGGCCAAATTTCAAGACATTTCAGTGCAGGGTAGCAGGCACCAGATCATAACATGCAGTTGTTCTCAAAATTAACTCCTGTTACTTCCACAAATGTTGACCACATGTATGATCTGTAAATCATGTTGATGGTCCATAAACCATTTCACACTGGGATGAAAGCTACAGATTTACCCCTCAAGTGATTGCAGAATACTTCATGTTAGCATACAATCAAAATTTCTGCCAGAAGAATAGGGAGGTTGTAGGACAGTTGTAGTTGTTAGGAAGTGCCCCAGACTTTTAAGAATAACTGGCACATAGGAACAGAAACCAAACAAATCATATGTCAGACAATGATTTCATATCTTCACAGCAGAAAGATGACCCACAACAAACCTATCTTTTTAGGTTCACATTATTGATTTGTGAAGGCTGTTTGGACAGCTCTGCCATCCCACATCATATGCACTGAGGCAGGAACCTCACCCAAAGCACTCCAGCCTGTGCCGCCAAGGGACCAGAAAAAGCCACAGGCTTGTCCATGTCTAAAGGGTAAAGCAGCTCAAGAAGACAAGTACCTGCTCTGTCAATGGCATGGCAAACAGTGGAAGTGGCCCTTTGCTTGCCTCTTGCCATACCTGGATTTCATGTCCCCAGTTCAGCTCATGGCTTACCACCCCCCAGCACAGCCAGCAAGGGAATAGCCATATAGTGAACTCCTTTGAATAGAGATCCTGACCATTAGATATTAGAAAATACACCTAGAAAGGCTGCCCTGTTGGAAAACTTCATTCTGTCCTAAACATGAGATAGTATTTTGTCTTAAGTGCGCATGAGAGTAAGATAATGAAGTAAATTAACAAACACTTATTGACAGTCAATTGATACTCTTCCAGCTATTGCAGATGATTGTTTTCAAAAAAATGTTGTTTCCTGAAAGCTATAATGTAATGAGAACCCAGGAAATGTGTACCAGTTGGAGAGAGATACAGCAGACTGCCTTCACATGTAATGATTTTCTGTAATCATGGTCTGTGTCATGTCATCTGAATGCCTGTGGGGTGACTGAGAATACACTGATGTGGTTGCAAACCATTAACAACCATGGCTTTTGAGCAGTTTTCTAAGTTAGAAACTAAGGAATGGTATTAACTTCTTCTGCATATTTTCTGATATGCGGCTGTTAAAACTTCTTCAGATATGGTTAGTATATGTATGGTTAAATAATTAGTATTATTTTAATAAAGCATGGCTAGAATTGCAGTTGACTGCATACAAGCAATGCAAAGCAGTGGGCTTATATCACAAGGAAACATAAAGATCTGCAGAACAGAAGAGGAGTAAAACACGCCCACTTTAAAATGCACTGGGGACAAAAGTTCCAAGTGTACAGTTATACAAATATCCCTTACTATGAATATTAAAAGATAAAAAAGCCCTAGAACTTGGGAAGATTAAAATCTTTCTTCCCTACAGTGTGCTGTATCCTGGTAGCCACTGTAACTTTTACAGGGCAAGAGGCCAAGACAATCTTATTTTTTTACTGCAAATATAGCTTGAATTTCCTTGTGAGAATTATATTGTTTGTTAGGTATGACAATATTTATTTAAAAAAAAAAAAAAAAAGTCACATAGAAAAGAATTTTTAAAAACGCCAATCTCTCTGTAGACCTGTAACCCCCTTAAAGAAGGGAGGTCTACATAAGTTACACCTTATCTCATGCTCCAGGTAGCTGCAATACTTTTAGACAAGGCAGGGTGTCCAATTGTCTTTAATCAAAAAACTCCAGGATATATGATGAACTTGCTATATGGGAATATGGATACTTTACAGCGTCTGTAAGTACCCAGCTGCAGTTTAACCAGAATAAAGAGGCCTGTAGACAGTGCAGGGGTATTTCTAGAGTCCTTCTTCACTGAAATCTTCCAGAGATGTTCACATGGGCTAATGCTGTGAGCTGACTTGAAGTCTTTCCTCTTGACCATAGAGCTATACTAAGGAAGAAATCTCTTATAAAACTCAATAATCCACGTCACAAAAAGAGAAAGAGATCAGCTCAGTTACAGCAGGTCAAGGAATCTCTCAGACAAATACTCCATATCAAGTTTCTGGCTCTACTTCCCTGTGTAGAAGACATAATTTTGACAGCCATATAAGTAATTGCCTAAAAAATGGACAGTTTGGAATAAAAAGAAAGAATAAGAATATTGCAAGTATTTAAGCCAGCCAGTCCTAAAAAGGATGCATTTGCCTCTGAGCTGATGATCAGAGTTTTTTAGTAAAGAACAAATAGTCCATAAAGCAGCAGGCACAGTTATAAAACTAAATCAAAATAAAGCTACATATCATCAAGTAGAAATATAAGCACTGCTTTCTATATTGGAATATTTTTTTGGAATGGGAATAACAATGAATTTCCAAGAAAGAGGTTACATTTAAACTAGCAAAACAGTTCTTTGCATCCTTCTCACCCAGACTAAGCATGTAATATGGGTAGAAAACACTTTTGGTGGAGCAACCATGCAGACGAAAGAACTTCAGACACCACAGTTCTGTGATCATAGTTCTCCAGGCTCCTTACCAGCATAATGGTGTGGCAGTCATAAAAGTAGTTAGAAAATGTGAATAGTGGCAGAGTAAGTTGAGATTAAAACACACATTTTTTTTGTGAGTAGATAAACACAAACAAAAAACTTAATATACTGCATACAGTTTTTGAAAAACAAAAAAGTAATTTTACACAAGGGATGAAGGAACTGAACTTTCAGTCAGACAGTGTATTAGCAGTTTTCTATTTTGTTTTCTTCTGTTTCAGGAATAAACAGAGTTGAAAAGACTGCATGATATGTAATTAAAATGTATGTCAGAAACGCAGCAGGAGTTGATTTAACTTAGTAACTTGATTCTATGTTTTACTACAGCTAGGCTACAAAATTATTTGAGACAGCAGTTATTCTAGATAGAAGTATTTTATTATCTCTGCATTTGAAAGATTATTTTTCAGTAACTCACTTTTTTTCAATATAGAATTAATTCAGTGTTTGTGAAAGTGAACTGTTTTCTTTACTACATCCGATAGCAACTCAGACATAAGAATTTCAAGTAATTCCATAGACCTTGACAGAGTTGCTTTAAATTTGTATGCATATAACTCAGATCAAAATTTGGTCAAGCTCATTCTAAAAGAATTAATAAGCACTTATTTCAAAATATGATAAAAAGACTATTTGTGCTGCAAAGTTGAAAACATGTAGCTCTTGGGTTTTAGACTCTGCAATGTATTTTTAAAGAACTGATCCATATTTGCTGCTGCTTTCTGATTGCTGAAGAGTTGGATGAATTTTTATCCTTCAAAACAAGGCACCTTGTCATATTGACTGAGGACCTAGTGACAAAAATGATTTATCTAATGCTGTAGTTCAGGATATGCTGAATAGACCAAACCATTATTCTGTTTGCTGTGCAGCAATCTGCATTTTGAGTGACTGGCTTGACAGAATTATCATGGAAAGGAAAGCCTAAAATTTTATAAGCAAATAAAGAGGTTTTAAATTTTCAGACTGAGGAGAGACTTTTGAAGTGAGCCTTAGTTATGCATGAAATTTTTGAAAAATGTTAACAGACAGCTATTTCTAAATGAAAGCAAGCATAGTATAGTATCAGTATACTTTTCCAGCCAAATATGATCACTAAAGAACTGGCAGTACCCTGAAGGTGCTCTACCAGGTACCTGAATCTAATACACACAGGAGATATTAAAGCATGATTATAGCACTTACTAACAATTGTATGGATTGAGTTTTATCTCCTTCTCCTCTGTTTTAAAATCAATTTTGCCCAGTGAAGATGTCCACAGAACAACTCTCAGGCTGCAAGAATAGATTTTTGTTTGTCTCTTATGATGAAAATGGCTTATTATTTTGAAGTGAATTAATTTCAGTTTATGTTGTGAAAATAAATTAAATAAAATCACAAATATTTTAATAGACATGGGATCCATTAAAATTATATAAGAGGAACTGTGTTTATTTTGTCCTGAAGTCCCAAACATTTCTCTGAAAAAATTGCACAAGTGGCCTAAATCAGATACATTAAAACTCAGTACCCAAAAAAACTAAGACTTAAGGCCTTGTTCTTTCTGAGTTGCTGAAATTTTCCTTCCCAAAACAAATACAACCAAAATTTCACTTCAACATGTAGGTAAAATTCATGGCAGCAGTGAGAATCTGCAAAATTAATTCCTTGCAATTTCCACCTCCTTTTAAATTTTTTTAAAAAAATCTTCAAACCTTTTTTTTAAAAAAAAACAACAGTAATTTTTGCAGTAATTGAATAGTTAGCAAGTGTTACATATAAGGAAAGGTTCATTGAACTTTGCTAGATGTCCTTACCTGTTCATATCATCTAGATGTTCAGCAGCAAAATAAAAACTTTTGATCTTAGGATGGCAGGCTTTGAATGCACTGTAGAGGAAAAACATCATTATAAAAACATAATGGCACAACTCTATTTTTGTTTGTTGGTTGGTTGTTGTTTTTTTAAAAAAATTAAGATAGTGTGGTCATCAAGGAATTTGATGAGTTCAGACTTTCAGAGTTGTTGGGGTGCCCTCAAAGAGCCTATAAACATACAACTTTCAAGACTGTGCCAGATTTTACCCAGTAAAGTGCTCATCAGCTACTGCTTTCTAACGAATTTTGATTCACATCTGCAGAAATATAGTTCAACAATCACCTGCAGTGTACTATATTTGGATAAAGTTAACCAGTTAAGGATAAAATTTTATGTAGCAGGAAATGTTGCTGATACACCTATAGGTGTCAATTTTTTTTAACAGAAAATTTACTGAACAATTTATTTGATACAACAGAAAAACTTTTAGTCCTGGTGATTTCTCACATCCCAATGACCTTGACTTTACCTTTAGCTCTAACGACTGCATTTCAAACAAAAAAATATGATGCACTGATTGACTTCTGAAAAGCAGTTATAAATCAACACTGTTCTCAAGGTCATTCTAAGTAATGGGCAATTATGTCTCATCTTTTCTTTCCACCAAAGTTATCAACATGACTGGGCTGAAAGAATTACTGCATTTCATACATAATTTGAAATAAATTGGTAGAAATAATGTCTTAACTCTGTTGGATAAAGATCTATGGTGAAGTACTCGAAGATCCAGAAAATGCATCTGAAAGTAATTAATAATTTACAGTATAGACAAATCATTTTTGAGAACAGCCCAAAAGTCTCTCTTAAAATAAGAACAAAACATACGTAACAGTCACAATGAAAATAAGGAAAACTCCAAACATGATAGATGAAGAACATTACCATTTTTCTGAGACACAAGAGATCATATATATAAAACATTATCTGATAGTTCTCACTTTCTCTAATCCACTGTGACTCAGAAAAATGGTAATGATGTTCTTCATGTGTATTGTGCTTGCAATTTTCAATATATATGTGTACATATATGTAAATATATGAAACCAGGTTTTAAAAAAACAGGGATACAAAACTGCTAGTAAAGTAAAATCGAGACCAAAAAAAAATTCCTCTAATACATTAGAACATGAGAAAATGTTATGCAAGTGAAAACAGATCTAGAGTGACATTTTTTTCAGTTTAGAAAGACCTCATTAAGTTATTGAGACCCAAAACTTGACTTTGTAAAATTGTTAACAGCATCTGTTGTCTAGATGCTTAGAGGTTTTTTTTTCTTTATCTGCCACTCAAGTAAGGAATTTTAATGGCTACATTTTATATTGCATTATCTGGTAGATACCAAATCAAGTAAAAAACCCAATTTAAGCAAGGTGCAATTCTGAGAAATTACTTGACTTTATGCTGTTACCCCCCAAAAAAAGAAAAACTGAAGCATTTCAGTAATGTAGCCCAAATACACAGGAAAATAAGGCCAACCTGATGTATTTTTTTTCTAAAGCAGTTTTCATTTTCTGCCTTTTGAGACCATAACGACTGAAGAGATACTTAGATCAACTGATATGTCACTGTCTTCTCTAGAACTGTATGTGCAACAAATCTTAACATTCCACTTTTACAATTGGTTATCTGTACACTTTTCAGTGATTTCACAGTCTTGATAGACTTGAAAGAACAGTGAAACCATTAGAAGGCAAGACAAAACGTTTTAAGCTACAATGACTCTAAAAATACCTCTGTGGGAGTGCACCTGTCACATTGCTGTATATCCTTAAACTTGCATCTAAATAAGAAATGCATTTGTGCAATGACACAAATCTGGACAGCAGCACACACAGCTAGGTGAGAAGAAAAGTTATTTGAGACCTTTAGGTCATACCTCAAAAATACTGCAAATCACTGTCACTTTCTTTTTAGTCTGCCTCAGGATTGATACGTGGTGTCAGCAAACTTTGAGATGATGGTTACTAATTTGGAGTTACATTAAGGATTGATTCCCAGCTGTGAACTTGGGGACTTTTTCACTTGGATGGTCACTTTATTATGCTTAGAGATCTTTATTGAGCTTAAATGTATCACACACACATACATTCCAACACCCCAAAAACATGCAAAAAGAGAAAACCCAAAACCAAGAAAGGAAAAAATGAAAAAGGAAATCTAGGAAAACAAAATCAGCCAAGTAGCCTTCCTGCTTTTAATTAATTTTGCTCTAGTCAAGTACTGTAATTCATGATAAAGTAAAAAAAAAAACCAAACCCCTTCTTGAGGAAAGATGGCACACAGAAACCACACTGAATTTGCCAGTTCTGTATGACCGTATTCTGTGATATAAACAAATGATCATTGTAACAAAGTCCGTTATGTCACTGATTGAAGGGAATGCCTTGTCCTTTTTCCTGTTGTGTGAACTTGGGGACTTTTTCACTTGGATGGTCACTTTATTATGCTTAGAGATCTTTATTGAGCTTAAATGTATCACACACACATACATTCCAACACCCCAAAAACATGCAAAAAGAGAAAACCCAAAACCAAGAAAGGAAAAAATGAAAAAGGAAATCTAGGAAAATAAAATCAGCCAAGTAGCCTTCCTGCTTTTAATTAATTTTGCTCTAGTCAAGTACTGTAATTCATGATAAAGTAAAAAAAAAATCCAACACCTTCTTGAGGAAAGATGGCACACAGAAACCACACTGAATTTGCCAGTTCTGTATGACCGTATTCTGTGATATAAACAAATGATCATTGTAACAAAGTCCGTTATGTCACTGATTGAAGGGAATGCCTTGTCCTTTTTCCTGTTGTATCATTGCATTATTTTTGAACATACTTACTATTTCTTGCGGCATTCGCTGGCTCTGTCAATCTTAAATTCAGGTAGACTGATGAATCCTTCTGCTTTTTCATCCTGCAAAGGCATGTCTAGATATTATTGCTGTTAAGGTGTCAGAAAGAAAACAAGAAGAAAACCCTACCATACTGAAAACTTAAAGATATTTTCACTTGCCTGCTTCTTACATAAAGAGTACTAATATATGCTCTGCTTTGGCAAACCTCCCACAGAAGTCACTGGGACTTTTGCCAAAGTAGTAAGACAGATCCCTTGGTGTAAAATACAGTTTTAAATACCCATTTTTCTCAAACAATTTTACAGCTGAAACAGCATTTGAAAATAGACAAAATGACCAAATGTATTCAGGCAATTAGTTATTGTAATTAGCTAATTTTGGGGGAAGACAGACTAATTAGTAAGGAGAAATGCAGCCTATTATATGAATTAGGAAAGAAGGAAATTTGTGTGTGTGCTCTTTACCATCTTTATCTGATCTCACATCTAAGAGGCATGATAGGTCTTCAAGTACTTTCATCTCTCTCCAAAACCCAGGAGAGAAGTTATTTGACCTTCCTCCCTTGTTCTCTGAAGACTTGCACATAGTTTATTTTATTAGACATTTGATCTCCTTTGACTTTTCACAATTTGAAAGCATGATTTATTTTAAGCTATTAATACATCAATAACACAGACCCTCTTATTTAACTGCTCATAACTTTGCATGAGCAATTAATACAGGATCATGACAGTGAAGCTGCAGAAAACACAAATGTATGTTAAAGGAATTCCAGAGGATGACATCTTTTTCTCAGAATGTCCATGGCTATTAGTGGTATATATACAATCCATATGAGTACATGCTTTCTTAAAAATAAACTAATAAAAGACACAGATCAATGTATAAAGCTGGAACTAGACTTGTTCTGTGGAAGGTACAAGATTGTAACAGGTTCTGCATTAGAAAGGACTTTAAAACTGAAAGGACACTGTTTAGAATAATGTTGCTATTTCTTTTTTGCATGGTTGCATAAGAAAATAAAATTTTGGCAGAACACTGTTTACTTGTCTGTTCATCTGAGGCCTCCTCTACCAGCTTTTGAATCTATTGGTGATTGCAAACACTTTTGTGAAGGAGCTGAGCTTTCAAAAATAACCAATTCTCAGCAAATCTCAGGGAAATTTGGGACAGGGGGGAAGCAGAGGCGCTCAGACCACTGCCCTCTCCATAAGAAAGTAAGACACAACTGAGGGGTTCCACAAGCTCCATGGCCAGGACCAGTGACCAGTTATAATAGGTGTTAGATATCAGTTACCACCCTGATGAAGACCTTGCAGTAGACCTTGAGGAGGGATGATGGAGAGGAGGGAGTTAGGGTAACTGATCTGAAACTGGAATCAAGGTACAAATTGGATTAGTCTGTGGGAAAACAGGCTTCTATAATGCTGTTCATGGAACAATTTGCTTTTTATCTCTGCAGGAAAAAGTTGGGGATTACACCGTTTTTAAAAGGCTGTGTACAAATGCTCATTGCACAACCAAACCTGCACAAATTTCAGTTGGGCTGCTCCGGAGCTCTAAAGTTCAGCATATTTGAGCACTGAAATAATATCAGAGGTTTCAAAGATGGAATGACAGGGGAACACAACTGAGAAGACAAAAGCATCTTCCTTAATTACCAGAAGTTTTGGTGATTTCACTAGTACAGATAAACAAAGAACATCAGGCAGCACATCATTGAAATTTACAGTCCCATGACTTGAGGATAGATTTATTCGGAACTGATGAGAGCAGGATACAGAAAAGATTATAACTACTTCTTGTAGTAAAAGGTGAATTTAAAGGACCAAATATCTCTGGACATTAATAGTAATTTAGTCAGGCAGTTAATACTAATTTCAGTATGTTTATTTGCGTGAATAAAGTTATTCAGATATATAAGCACTCAAAGTACTGGGTTCCCACTCACTCATGACAACAGCATTACACAGGGTATTTGTTGAGACAGATCCTTACCTCTTCATTGATATACCAATACAGAGATGTATCCTTCAGGACAAACCAGTATTTTTTCCACTTCTGGGAGAAATAACTCTTGGCATCTTTCTTTTTCCAAAGCCAGCCTTCACAGTCCCCTCGACCAAGATCTTTACATGAGATCCGTCTTTTGCTTTTACCAGGAATAGGAGCTGAAAATGACATGGAGTTGATGAGAAAGCATTTGACATGTTCACTCATGCAGCAAGACAGCTAGCCAGAAAGCACTGTATACTTGCCTAAGAAATTAATTAAGATTTTCAATCTCAATTTGCCATGAATACATTATTACAAATTGTCTATTTCAACCACAAAGTCTATAAAAGGCACCGTAAGTTAAAAACCAAAACAAACTGTGTTCGGCATCTCACCAAGCTCATATTTTATGGATAAGACAAAAAAACTCAACAGACCCCCATGCAAAAAAGAAACACAGAAAGATAAGACATTATAGAGAAAAGAAAGGAAAGATATTTAAAAATTAGAAAAATGGTTGTAATTTTCAACAAATTAGTATTTCACATCAGATTAAAGCCCACAGCATATACATTCATGTACTTGGCTGCCAAATACAGCTATGTAAGACATACTTCATGGTATTCAGAAACCTCTATTTGCAGCTCCTTTTGCAACTAAACAATTCCTAATGCCTTTGTACTTCCAAATCAAAGTAGGACAATTTACTGTGGTATAAATTACCTGATAACTTTGATAATGAACAAGGGCTGCTGGAAAAACACACAGCTCTGGCCCCAAAGAGGCTAAAGTCTAAATACTGGGAGGAACTTTATCAATGTGATCAGCTGAACTGAAGATTGGAGCTAATAAGTTCTAGTTCCTCAGATACTGTGTAAATGTTAATGTTGGCAATTCCTTCCTACCAACATGTGAAAGCAAATGCAATGTTTACCTTTGTTCTTCTTTTTACTTTTCTGCTGTAGAGAAGACTGCTGAAATGTCTACAAGAAAATAAAAATGGAAGAAGTGAAAATACAGTGCTTATATTCAATCACATCCTTAGCAAAACGGAAGTGCAATGTTGTGAACACTGAAAGTCACCACTAGGCATTCCAGGCAACAGACTTCTTCTAGGCCTAAGAAAAAAGGTAATTTTTGTTCACTTGCTCTTGAGGTTGTAAACCAAAAGCACACAGTGAAACATCTTAAAATAGATCACAAAGTAGTTTGCCAAAACAATCAAAGTTTCTCTCTAAAATGTTTTCTCATACCTGTTAATATTGGTTAGTATGATAGTGAAGCTACATAGACTGTGCACTTCTAATACATTGTCTAATTAAGGTCTTCCTGACATAAATATGAAAACATGCAAATTAACACTCTGCCTAATGCAAGTGTGAAGGCATATATACAATATGTCTTTTGAACATCAGACAATATGCTCAAAAACAGGCCTAATATTTGTAAAGATACCAATAAAAATCTGCTAAATCACGATTGGGAAAAAGTCACCCAAATAAATATTATGAAATAGAAAACACATCATTTTGTAGCAGCTTTTGACTGTATTTCTCTCCAGTTGATCCACTCCCATGAAGCAACCCATTGCCTTGGCACTGAGACAGGAAGAAAATTATTCCTGTACTTAAGATCCTAGCTTATTAAAAATGGTAATTGGTAATTACATTTTAGGGTAATTTATGTTAAGAAACTTAACTCAGATAATCACCATCACTCCAGTGAATTAAACAAATAATTCTGTAATTAATAATTTCAAAATTTAAAGATGTCATTTTAGTTGTTTTGAATTTTAGTTTCCTATGAAGATAGACAAACGTATTAGTGCTGAAACTAAGTAAAGGCCCCAGTAGAGAGTCTGAGTGTTAAAGCCTCTTATTTCAGCTTACCATGAATCGTTACAAAAATTAAAGCTTTTTTGCCACTTGATGAAAATAAATCTGAGCAAAAGCACTACCATTCATTCCTGTGAGTCCAAATTCTTGTCATAGCAGATAAGACAAACCCTCGCTCCAGCTTACAAGGCTCCCTTTTCAATTTAGAGTGCTGCTTTTCGTTTCCTCCTCCCTGCTTCCCACGCACCTGAGCTCACATGCAGGAGGCCTGAGGCTCAGCTCCCAAGGAATGTCTCACCACACAGCTAAGACATTCCCAAGCAGCAAATACTAACATGTCCATGTAAGTTACCAGCAATACAGTGATAATTAAGCATGATATAAAAAATTTGCTGTCTCAGTAGATGTGCTGATTCCTTTTAGATCATGTCTGAAGAAAGTTATTCAACTGTACTGCCACCTCAGGTGGCCAAAATAGATCTCCACTGGGAAGATAAAAAGAGCCCATTTATTTTCATCCCCTGGCCCTTGTCCTTTTTCTGCTGCTGTCAAGTATCAATTCAATTGGCATCAGCTCTCAGCAAGCTGAGACATCAACACTATCCCAACTTAACATCACGTGAAATATTCGACCTGCGTAGGACTAAGAGAGATCTGTATCACCAAGGAGTAATAGGATGTCTGGGCAGGAGTGTGCAAATAAATCCCTCTTAGATGTTTAGAAAATCTTGTCTAATTTAAAGTGGTTGGAAAAACACACATATGCACAAACCCAAAACTTCAGCACTTCTCAGTTCACAACCCCAAAAATTTTATTCTGCTGCTTGACTTCACTAATAGTTTCACAGAAAACTCTGCCAAAAGAGAAAAGGAAAACCTTCCCTTGGTTTTCTTATGGGTGATTTTGAAAGCAGATGAGAACAGTATGAAGAGCTTTCTCTTTAAATGTTTCATCTGTAAACTGAACTTGGAAACTTGAACTTGCACCTCTCAACCGCTCAGTTTTTGGGAAGAAAAGGTAATGAAGGGATATCAGTTTTTAATAGGAAGACAGCACGTAATTTAGACATCTAGCCATTTTTCCATACATTACACCATACTGCAAAATAGAAATTAAATTATTATTCTAAATTAGGTCATGAAATTAAATTATAAATAATGACAAAATCTATAATAGAGTGAAGTTCCTAGGAATTTTTCAAATTACTTCAGTGATTTTAGCTAACACTTTAACACTTTACACTATTTTACAAAGACTTCAGACTTTCAGTTGGTTTGTCCTTTGCAAAAACAACACCAGCTTTTTTTATGTTTATGGGTGTTTTTTTTTTCTTTTTCACCAGAAAATATATAAGCAGTATGTATTAGTTGGTGCCATTCATTTTAAAACTCACATGATATGTCATCCAAAAAAGCCCAAGTGAGGATGAAATCTAAAAATGCTGCTTCTGTTCCTTTTCTGAGGAAATAATCAAATGCAATCTGCAGCCTCCTCCCACTTACTAGATAATGCTTAATGCCATTTTTGCAGTGTTGTTTAGAATCACAGATTGACGAATGAGGTCATGTCCTTCCTCTTTCTTAGAGCATGTTCTTCAGGGTCACCACCAGCCTAGATCCAACTGTATTAGAAGAGGAATATTCTATAGCCTCTTTAAGCAACCTGTTCTAACACAGGCAACTATAATGATTCCCCTTTTGCAGCTTAATTCTGTGCTGTGGCAAATATGGAAATAATATAAACACTTCTTTTAATGCCATGAACCCTAAAAATATGGATTCACACCAAAGCCAGAAATTTAGTTGTACTAAAGCAAGTTTGCAGCAAGGTACTGTTTAACCACCCACCCACGAGGCCAGATTTCAACATATGTTCACTGTATTCTAACTGTGATACGGCTTGAGCTTTGAGCAACTGCTTTCACATACATCTTGTCCCAGTTTCCAAGAATTCATCTCTTCTACTAATTCTGAGGGCAAGCATGAAATGAAATAGAAAACAGCATTCTATACTAAAGAAAGTTGTTAGCAACTCAAAATAATAAACAAAATGGAAATGAGACTGCCACTGAAAACAGGGAATAGACGAATACCTCATCCCAGATAGATATTGTCACTCCAGAAGAAAATTTGAGACTGTTTAATTATATTCTGAATTATATGCTTTCCAGTTGCCCAAAATACAGTTACCAAAACTTTCCATTATCCAAAAGCATGATGTCACCTGATGTTCAATAAATATCAAAAATCTCTTGAATACCATGAGTCTTAGTTTTTTGAAAGCAGTAATTTTCTCCTGTAATATGTGATGTTTGAGCTTGTTGTATTTAATAATACACCTCAACTAAACACAGGTAAGTAGAACATAAAATAAATATTTTAGGTGCACATATATATATATATATATGTGTGTCTTCCTTTGCTATCAGCAGCCACCAAAGCATATGTATTTCAGGAGGAATCATTTATTAATGGGATCTTTGTTATGTTTCTTCTTCTTTTTAACAAAGGTGCTAAGCCTACCTCTAGCCCTACCTGAGGGCTTAGCTGTATATCCCATCAGTCAATGGACATTTCATTGTGCATGGAAAAGCCATAACAGTTCCTCTCTTCCTGCAACAGTTCATTACCAAACTTGCTATGTGGGTTATATTTACTTTGACACTCTTCTAAATGATTGACAGAGTTCTGAAAGCCCATCAGAAGACTGCAATGCTGTAAATAGCAACCTGCCCTACAGTATAACTTTCCATGCTTTTAGTATTATAGTGCAATAATACAGCAAAATAGTAAAATTCTCCATGTGGAGGTTCACACTAACAAAAGAGGTCATTGAGGATCTATAACTCTGTTTGTTCCTTTAGCAAGAAAATAATCACATATAAATGGTATAATCAATAATAGTTGCATGCACACGATCACACACCAGAATAATCACATCTGCAATACACATTTTTCAAGAAATGAGACCACCAGGTTTTTATCTCACCTTCAAGAATTATCCAGTTTTCTGTCTGCTTTTGGCTCTTGGAATAAAGTATTCATGCTTGGTTAGTTCCACACCTTCTGCATATTTGTGCAGAAGGCAAGATTGAAAGCTAGTCATGAACATTCAGAAGCCTGAAAATATGAGTATTTATTATGAACTACTTAGTACTAATATAACAGCTCTCTTTGTAAAAACAAATTTAAATAAGTGATAAATAATTTAATTTTCAATTAATTTATTTGGTGTCAAATAGGAAATTTAAGAAGCTGATCTTTCAATACTAATATTAAGTTGGAGTGAAACAGCTATCAGGAATGATGAATTTTTGATAAAACTCATGTAGTGATGAAAGTTATAACATTTCAAGTCCTATTGATACATCAAATAAAAGTAGAAGACAAGTAGATTGGTTATCAAAGCTACTGATTTCAGAGGACTGGTTATTTTGTCACACTTCAAGAATCTGAGGAGGAAGTCCAAAGATGTGAGGTCAAACTATGCCTACATAAGACTGTCTCTAGGAGCTGATGTTAACACCCTTTGTGACCAAGAGACCATGACATCCATGTCCAAAAAGTAGATATATTCTAATAATTACATGGTCTCCCTCATCATTACAGAATTTGTAGTTCTACAAGAAAATATCATAACTGAAAATTCTCTGAAAATCTGGGTTTGCCATATCAATTAGTGCTAAATTTGGCAGCTTCTTTCAAGTGCTTATTTGTTTCTTCACTTTTCTATAGAGATTTTCCACTTGCTCATTTTTTTGGAAAGCTGGAAGAGAGAACCAGGTTATGGAAATAATAATATCCAACTATTTTACCTGAATTTGAGCTCAGTCTGATTGGGAAGGAAAATGGAAGGTATCTTTATTGTTTTTTAGAGAGCTCAAGTAAAATTCAATTTTTCTCAAGCTGAGAGTTTAGATACTAAGAAACTATTTACTGTCAGTTCCCCTCTTTTACTGTAAGATAACTTTCTCTAGTTTCAGCAGAGTATCTTGTAACATTTCAGATTTCTGGAACTTTCTACTGCAAATGGAAAAGCCAATATCTGGAAAAAAAGAAAGCTGGTGCTGCCAATTATCTGATCGTTCTCTCACACTTGATACTTAAACCACACTGGCAACGTTGTGTGTGTTTCCACAGTTTTGATA